ATGTAGCGATATATTCGCAATTTTTATGTAATATAGGCCAGCTTGGTCCCTCTGGGACCCTTCCGGCAAGGTTTTTTTATTTTTTAAATAAAGCATATATTATGTTCTTGTCGTAAATCTTGAAAAATTTCACGTGTAATGATATAATATAATCACCTGACAATTCTGTATTATATCTTAATTGCATATATATTAGGCAAATGCATTATGAATCAATACAAAAAAATCCATCATTTCTCTCCGAGCGCTGAAACCAAAATACTTTTTTATCTATAAACCAGATTTACCTGTAACTGCAGTCAAGTACATATTTTTTTCGCAAGCACAAACTCACATATATAAAAACCATGTCTTCACAAGCTTCTTCATCTGCTTCACCCGCCTCAATAACGGAAGAAATATCCACCAGAACAATGTCAGACGTGGTTAAGGATTTTAATACAGAGAAACTTATCGAATATTTGGGAAGGAAAGACCTGAAGCTTAAGGAGTCTCACTTTAAAACTTTACGAAAGGAAGAAATTACCGGTCTAGCCTTTCTCAAGTTAACTAAAGAGGACTTTCGTGATATTGGCTTCACATTAGGTCTAGCAACAGTTCTTGTAGAATTTATCGAAGGTCTCAGCCAGAAATTAAGAAACTATTCCTCGCTTAAAACTCTCGATGACTTGAAGGAAATGTTACGTAGAAATAAGGTTAATGGAGAAGATATAACAAACATCAAGCAGTTTACTCCTGGTAGGTAATTAATTAATTTTTAAAACTGACTAGATAGGTATATTAACCTTATTTTTTTTTTCTTTCACAGTCTTCGAAGAGATCAATGATGATGATAAGACGCTCAATCACTGTATGGAGGACATTATCTTAAAACTTTTGAATGTGAAAACTATGACCGATGCTAATAAGGCAACGTGCTGTGAATTTATTTTGGCAATTTTACACGCATCGATTGCCATTGCCAAAAAACTCACTACTCAAGATATATTTATAGTTTTGCAGAAAGACATTTCTGGTGAAGATGCTACTGGCCGAGTAGACTACGCAATCAAAAGTCTGGAAGACCTTCTCTGTATCACCAAAGGGAAACCACGTAATATTAAGATTGGATATGCCCAAGTAAGTCTGTTCATCTTATCAGTCTATTGGCTTTGAAATGAGAAGACTAAAAAATATTGTATTTTATCTTTTAGAATTTGGCGCAACTTGAAAGTGCGTTCCAAACAAATAAGAAAAAATGAACTGCAGATCAAGCGTTTAATGAAGATTACTTTGACTATCTTTATGGCATTGTGACAACAGGGACAGAGTGGCATTTTATAATATATACTCTGGATGGTATTTACTGTACAAGTGGGAGTGAGTACCAGATTAATCTTTTGAAATCTGCCATCAAAGATAACCCTGAATTACTCTGAAGCAATATGAAAAGGGTTATTGGTATAATTGTTGGGTTGTTAAAAGATCATGTTAGTGTAGATAGCTCCCCAGCTAGCAAGAGAGCTAGAATCAAAAAAATTATCAAAAAATAATGTATTCTGGGCTACGTCCTGAACAATTGTATTTATTTTTCGCATATATTAATAAAAAATTTCAGCGAAGCCCGTCGCCCAAAAACATGTGATATATTTTTTATTTTGAATTTTCATATGCAGTGTATTAGTTATATATAGATCATGTCATCCGAGCTTGAATTATCGAAACAGCGTATCACTGAACTTGAGGCTGAGAATTCCGGTCTTAGAATTAAGCTCTCAGTGTCTGATGCTGAAATAGCTGAACTTAAGCGCAGGAATGCCGAGTTTTTAAGAGCGAATAAGGAATATAACGAGAGGCGTGATGCTGTAAATGCTAAACTCAGGGTTAGAATCGAGAAGATGGAATCTGATTTTGGAGATAAAATAACGAAAGTGGAACAGAAGCAGACTCTAAATGAGCCGAGAGGCGCTTTGCATAATTCTTCTAACAACAAATCATCTAACTTCAATTAGTTGCAGATCAGGTGCCAACGATAACACATCACGAGAAATCATTGGTGGATACTTCATTACCTGAAGACAAGGAAATGGACGCTTTCTTGGATGAGGTGCATAAGAAAAAGGTTAGTAATGAGATTAGGCAGAGAAATCAGGAAAAGAAACTTCAAACCCAAGAGTTCCTTCCAACACATCCTGAAGAGAAAATGTTTCAAGATCTCAACTCGGTCACTCAGCCATGCAATAGCACAACATCAGAAGAAAATATATGTAGTAAACTGAATTCAAAGTGCAAGAAAGGGAAGGGTGTGGATAAGCTTAAGCAAGAATTATTTGCTCCAGAGTTGCCTTCACAAGTGCCAATAGAACAAAATCATGTGACCAAAATTTCTGAGACCGTGGGTCCCAGAAAATCTAGTATCGATGAGGCATTGCAACATTTAGCTCAGTTATGTGATAAAGCTTTCGATGCTGAAGATGGTGCAAATCGTGCAAATCAAGAAGAAATATTATATTGGTGCTTCTATGCGAAGGATTTCAGAACTCAGCTCAATGAGATTATAGAAAATAGTGATGGGATCCCAAAGGGATCTGGTAAGTTTGGCGAAAAGAAGGCAAGAAGCCTATTATATGATTCCATTATAAAACATCTTAATTTGCTTCGCAAACAGAGATCTCAAGAATTGGATCTACATCTTCCTGAAATATCAAGGGACGCCTTGCGTAAAAAAACTCAGAGAGCTGAGAAAATTTATACATTGTTCGAAGAAATAGGCCTAAACTTATTAAAACATATAGTGCAAATTCTATTTCAAAACTTACTAACGGTCAAATTAGAGAGATTATAGAGGAATCAATTGATTCACCGGCAAACACTTCCCAGGACATATCTTCGGAAAAAATTCCAGAGGTTTTGCAATTAGTATCAAATCATGTGACTGAAATTTCTGAGACCGCGGGTCCTGGAAAAAATTTGTCTGAAATAAATGCATTAACTACACCCAAACCAGCTGAGGTAAACGTACCAACTGCACCTATTCCTTCATCTAATTCTTCAAGTGAGACGAGTCCAGGTAATACTTCCAAAACTGAGGTGAGTACATCATCCACAATTTCTTCCAGTAAGATAGGATCATCTAACAGATCCCGACTTCCGATTTCTATCTTGCCTGAAGATTCTGAAGAGAAGCAAAAACATATCATTGGGTTAGTGCTAGAGTGTTTTTCTTATCTATCTTTAGTCAATAGTGATGAACGTGCTGACAGCTTTAGTCTTAATAGTTCAACACTCTGTCCATTATGTAATGGAGACCATAAAGAAGAAAGAATATAGAATGATATAAAAGGTGAATGGGGTGCTGGTGAATATTGCAGTGAACGAACTTATCGTCTCGAATGCAGGAATGTTTATTGTGGAATCCCAATAGTATCTGTAAAAGTATAGATGAAAATTTCGTCATGTGAACTGATCATCTGAAATGCGCTGGCAAAACTCTTGTCGAAAATAGGGGCTGTATGACGTAGGATTGGCATCGCATTATTTTTTCGAATCATGTGGGTGGCTTAGATATCATGCGTAGTAAGTACGTCATCTCTACTTCTCCGCAGTATATGTTATGTATAGTAAGACGTCATTGAATTATTAGCCAGTAGATCCTGCTGGAAGTGTAAAGAGTCTTCATGATTATCATATGACATAGCATGTATTGGCAAACTTTAGAAAAAAAACTAGAATAGATGAATATCGTTCGAAAAAATAATTGTGTATAATAAATAGTCTAAAGTCATAGAATGGCATTATAGAATGGCATCATATATTCAGGGCTAGTCCCGCATCATGTAATTTTTTTAGCTTAATGTATTGCAAATAAAAGACGTTTAGGCTACTAAGTGACCCGAGCAATGTAGTCAAATATTTTTCTCATGGCGATTCAATGTACATATAGTGCTAATTTTTATTACTCGCATGTTAATACAGGTAATTTAGGAAATCTGGATCGGCAAATTATTGGGCAATAAGATTGCCAGCGAAGATCCAGGAACTTTTATTCTCAAACTTTCTCGCATATTCTCAAAATTATTACGTATATTATTGTAAAAGGTTCCCTTGATGATCTTTACATATAGATAGCGTTAAATTCTTTTATTATTATATTAAGGAGAGTCCGTTGATCAGATTCTCACGATGCGATCATATTAACGTAATTTCCCCCAAAAGCATATAACAAAATCGATCCTGTGAATTATATAAAAAGGTGATGACCTGGTTAGTGAATCCTTTTATCTGCCTTGTGCAAGTAAAACGAAAAAATCAAAACCAATCTAACATACCATTATTTACATCGTTATAATATCCTTGATCAAACGAACTCCTATATTTCGCAAAACAATAATAAGGTATGTTGATTTTATTGCTCGGTTAGCTTTTTGAGACATGTCATCACGATGTTAATTGATTTTCCTGTCTTTATAGATGTTCCAAAATAAAACGGATATATTACTCTTCTTGCTATGTATCGGCATTCTGATCTTCGCTGAGAAAATCTTTGACAATTACGCGTACAATAGACGCAGTGAAACTATTTACATGAATCTCATCACATGCCTTAACATCACACTTCTCAACAAAATTTGGCACAATGTGTTAACAATAATAATTCTTAGTATTTGGCGCAGTATCGTACAGGCAATAAATAAATCGAATTACCTTTATTATAATGCATTAAGTAATAAATTTCAGGCGGAATGGAATGTTGCGAAAATTAATAGTATACATTTCACTTGCCTCTCTAGCATTTTCCTCTATGTAGCTTCTTAAATGTACAGTATCTGAAAAATTGTTAATAAAGTTACAATTGGGTTTAAGCACAGTATATGCATAAGTCACGATTATGATCGTCTAAGTGATTTGTGTGACAATAAATTTCCTATATATACTCCCTTTTTTCTGCAAATTTTTTCTTTTTCTGAACTTGTACAACTTCTATTGCACACTTGTCCCATCACATTTAAAACCAATAAATCATGTCTACTTCTGCAAGCACTTCTACTGATCCTTCGTTCGAGGAAGTAAAAGAATATGATACAGAAAGACTTGTAACTTTTTTACGAGGAAAAAACTTGAGCCTTCGCGAGAATGTATTTTCAACTCTTCTTCAACAAGAAGTTGCTGGCCTTGACTTTCTACAATGGACTATAGAAAAACTTCGTAGTGAGCCTTATAACTTTCCTGATGGACCTGCAACAAGACTTGTAACGTTAGTCAATGATTTGAACAGCCAAAGTAAGTTCTAACATAAAATAGTTTAACTTTTGTACGCCTCGCGTGTTATTCAACAAGACGTCTTTCAACACAGCTATTTTTCGTAGTATTTATTACTCGTTTCTATGTTTTGCTTGTCTTTTATATATTCATATAATACCGAATACTTACTTATTCTTGTGCTTTTCTTTCCTGCTTCTTATCGTCAAACCCGCCCAAATAACACATTCGTGTTATCGTAGAGCAACCCGGTGCTAGTGGTAAGTGAGTCGTAATAAATTTGGTCAATTCGAGTGAACATACTTTTTCACCGTTATTTTTTAACGTGTGCATCACTATTTCCATTTTATTCAGAACAATATATCTAGGAAAATAAGTTTTTGAAATATGAGAATTTCCTTCTGAAGTTAGGAAATTCACAAAATTCTGCCTCTGTGTACAGATTTGTGAGAGAAAGAGGAGAATTTAAAATTTGGGAAATCGAGGAGGATCTTAATATAACTCTACAAAAGGGAATTGGCCAAGATGTATTTAATAACCACCCTGAAGCTCCTGCTCAAGGATCAGGTGAAATTAGTATAACCCAACCATTTTGCAAGAACGTTGTGAGTGAAATCAATGATAGCGTAAATTCTATGAAATCAGTTAATTTACGTGTATATGGAGATGTTAGCGTCTGGGAGAAAGATCAAGTTTACGCTGATATAATAATTGGCTCTACCGATTTCCACAAAGAATTGACAGATAACCCACCTGATTTATTAAAGGGTTTTGGTTAGGAAGTCAAGAGTAATTTTAATGAAGGTTCAAAAGTAAGCGAAGGGAAAGGTCAACTAATAAAATATGCCAAGTTATACCTTTCAGCGAGTCCACGTCTAACAAACGTTTTCTATGGATGTTTAACCGATGGGAAGATTTGGCAATTTGTGAAAATCCAGTTTATGTTAGATGAACTAAAAGTGATATTTGAGGAAAGTCCCACTTATGAATGGAGTGAGAAGATAGCCTCACTTATCGCCGGCATAATTGAGCGTTATCATGATGACCTGTCTATGAGAGTTTCTGGCGAAAAAAAAGAATCTCAAAATAACAATGAAACGTATATGTATAGAAATAAGTCATCAATTTCTACTGAAAGTCTCTTGGCTTCTTTCATCGAAGAGGGTATCTACATCAGATCATACTCTGGAAATCATGGCATCCATGTGCAGATTATATCTCACCTTGGAAATGGAAGAGAGTGTATAGTTTTTTTGGCACAAGTACGTGATTATGGAATAAAGGATGCTATTTTGAAGGTAAATTAATTCCCGAGAATGTCTCATGTTGCGTATGATATAAACTTACCATATCAATCATTTTTTTATTTGAAGATTGAAGTTCGCAAAGATAGTGAAATCTCTCAAGTTTATCGTGAAATATCAGCGTTGCATGGACTAGGTGGTCTTTCTTGCATTCCCAAAATTCTCTTCGAAGGTTATGCAATGGGAAGATCCCTGGCTTTACTAACTGATTTTGCGGGACAACCCCTGGAAATATGAATTTCTGATAACGGTAATATAGATGATTATACAATTTTTCACATAATTCTGGATCTATTATCGTGCTTGGAGAAGATACATGCCCGTGGTTACACACATGGAGATGTGGCCATACGAAACGTCATACAGAGAAATGGTCATTTCTATCTTATTGATTTCGGCCTTGCAACTCTGTTGCAACTTCACTCCGATCCATGTCAAGCAATTATTCAGGACTACGACAGATTGTGTTAAATCATTGGAAGCATCAAGTTTGGAAAGGAAATGACGTTATCAAAGTTAATAGATAAGTTGGAGGGAGAGTTAAAATCACTTGTTGTGTTTGTCGAGAATGCAAGTAGGTGGAAAATAACTGATGAAGGGAAGTGGTTAGAAAAATTTGGTGCTATAGTTAAACCATCTTATGAGAGATCATCTAGGGAGGCATTATTGGAAATAACTGAAAATATTAATAATTCATGATAAGTTTTTGATCGGAAAGCTACAGCAAATTTATTTTTAATTTTTAATGATTTAATAAATAAATAAGACAGACTAGAGTAGCAGTTGTATTTCAAACATATATATTAATAAAGCATTTGCGTATTCTTCCTATATCGAGCTTTTTTTTACTCTACATGCGTTAAGCAATATAAATTGATCGCTATACTAGTTTGCTACTTCCAATAAGATTTCAAATAAAAAAACATGGCTAATTTGCTGACTACTGCACCATGTGATTAATTCTTTTTTCTGCGCAATTAAGTTGAGCCCGGACACCGTGTCCAGACTCTACCATCAGATATTCATATGCACAGCGCCTTCGGTTATTTCAGGATAAATTTAACCAAGATATCAGGGCAAGCTAACTGGATAGGTTATCTACCGCAGATCAAGGGGGGTTTCGGGAGACAAATTTAACCGGATGTTGATCTCACTTTTGCACAATTAAGTCAAGCCAGACACTGTGTCTAGACTCTACCATCAGATATTCGGAGATAAATTTAACCTAACGCTGATCTCATGCTTACATTTATTTTTCAAGTGATACTATGATAAAATATTTTATTCGCTTTACAATCTATTGCCTTACAGTTATGAAAAAATACGCTCTGTAATGGTAAAGAAAAAATTTATATAACCCCAACCTACCTATATAAGAACTTCTGGTTTGCGCCCCAGAAAAATAATATATTTAGCCTAGTTTTGCTAGTCTGAACTGGTTCCTTTGGAACCATCACCACCATAATTAATAGTGACATTAATGACGTTCGCACTTTGTGAAAAGGAGGGGAGTG